TGAAGGCTTCAAAAAATGAGTTGTGTACAGATTTGTCTTAACGAAGGTGCATTTGATTTTATTCTGTGGCCATTCTAGGGTTATATGGTAATTTCTGATGTTGTCATTAGGAGTAAGTAATCACTGTAATGATTTTTGCTAAAACTTGTAGAAATTTTTCATTTGAACTTTAGGACCCAGTCTGAGGGTGGTCAGTACTGTATCTGTTGGTTACGATCACGTGGAACCACAGCAACTGAAGGAAAGGTAATTGAGAGACAGCTGAGTTTGATAAGTGATGTTTTCTTGGTCACTCAACTGGTTGGCCGTGCTGTGAATCTCACACATACCAAACAGTGGAAGTGGAAGTGGAAGCAGGGTAGCCCCCCCCCACCAGCACTACCCCTGGCAGATGTTATTACAGGGCAGGGCTTAAGGGATTGGTCTATTAATGGCACATGTCTGATCGTCTTACAACTTTTAAACACATTGAAAACTGTTCCGTTGCTGTTGACACAAACTTTTACTTGGTAATGGGAACTAACCAAGTAATGAAATACTATTTATTTATTTGACTGCAACTAAACAAAACAAAGAACAAGAACAAACTATAACAATAACAAAATCACACAAACAAAAGGATAAATGAAATTAGCAACAACTCCAAAATACAAACAATTTGGACGAAAAAGATTTTAATGAGGGCAAATAGACGAGCACGACAACAGAAAAGATGTGATCCCAACAAATATAGACATTGGGAGGGAACAGTTTGGGACACATTTTTGTCCCCATGGGGCAGTTCTGACTTCCCTAACAGAAGAAATTATCCCCTTAAACATGGGGAAAGCCTACCAACCGAGTCTGACTTGTGATATTGGATTATTGTTCATTCCTGATCCTGCGAATTTCTGCAGAGTGTTTCCTGAGGCTTCCGTTCTCCAACTCTGAATTGTTTCAGAAGTTCCCTGGCTGTTTTGGAAACCTGACAAAGTACACCTTTGATAACACTAGTGTACACTGTTTTCTGTTTTTAATCAATTATCCCTAACCACCCCAAACCTGCCATACTCCAACAGCAGGTTTTGTGGGGTTTTGGCAGGTTTGGTACCGTACCTGATGAACTTCTTAGTTGAATTTTGTGAGACTTAGGATGAAAGGCCCAGGGAGATGGTGCTGGATTGATCTGTGTGAGTTGGGACACACAGGGTTCATTGTGTACAGTGTCTGGCTTGCTGTACCAATTGTTGGACTATGCTTGATCTTA